CTAAGCAGATTTAAAAAAAGCCAAACTCCAAAATTCAAGGTTCTGGGTTATGTGACCTCTTCCCTCACGATTCATTGGTATGTATTTTCTGTCAATCCTAAAACATCACAAAATCAAAATCTGAAAAGAAAAATATTTACATACACTAATCTCCCCTTTAGTAGAAATAGGCACCGGTTTCATTTAATAAACTTCTCTTTCAATGGCTTCCCATCTGCCAATGTGAAAACAAATTTGTACAAATATATATATAGCTTTTTTGGTTTTACTCTCATCATTTATTTAGGAAATGCTTTTTTTAATTTCTATATGACTTTATTTTCTAAGAGTTATAAAACATTCCAGCATTGATCAGCATCCCCACTAGCTCACCGCAACTTCCTGTGAACTAGAAAAGGTACGTCGTCTGGGAATGGCAGGTAACAGTCCTTCCTGCAGAGCACTATGGGCCTTGGGCTTGGGGAGCAGAGCTCCACTCTCATGCAGGGTACAGCTTACATGAGGACAAGCGGACACTCTGATGCTGAAACAGTGGATTTCTGGTGGTGGGTGAGGGAGGAGGAGGGTAATCATTCTGCGAATCAACAGGAAGGGTAAGATCATATGGAAGTTGGAGCCAGGCTGTATTACATCAAATCCTACCTCCATGGCACACTCACTCAATAAGTTTTGATGACATCCTCAATAAGTTTGTTCCCCAATAAAAAAAACTGTATCAATGCTATTTCTATCCCTGCATGCATTTTTTTAAAAACTTTAGAAGTTACTAACATGAAAACCACAGGAATGGGATTCCAGTGTTAAAATGCAAAAACATGGAGCTAAATTTGAACTCCTTGTATTTTCATGTATATCTGCTAAGGACATAGGTGGTAAAAAGTCAGGTGATTATTCATGAGTGTCATTCTATCAAGATAATCATCTCAGGAAAAATACCCATTATCCTCTGGGAACTTATGAGGAAATAGTAATAGGAGTTAATATCTTAAAGGAAATGTTGATGTTTGTTTCCTTACAGCAAAGGAAAATTGGGTGGCCCCAAGGCCTTTCCAGTTTTGTCTGTCCCTGACACACTCCCTCCACAAGGCAACCTTCGCAAAGGCACTGAAAGGTTAAGGTTTCTTCACTCCTTCCCAAATTTGCCTGATCTCTGATAATAAGATTTTGCTCATTTCAAGCTCTTTAAATTTACCTCCACCTGAGACAGCCTTTCCTCATTCTGCAAATCAACTCCAAAACCTCAACCAAAATTCCAATTTAAATATGACCCCTTTCTCCAGGCTTGTAGTGTACTACCCTCTTCTCCAAAAACTCAGAGCACGTCACCTATGTCACTACAAGTTTAATGGCATTAACCATGACATTCTTAAAAATTACTTTCTCTTGCATCTGAATTAGTGTCTTTGTCTTCATAGATCTACTGTGCACATATGTATCATTTAATTTAGTCAGATCTGTAGCCACATGAACAAAAAGCTATCTTAACTAAAACACACAGGGCTTGCAACCTAGAAGAGCTCTTGCAGGTTTTTGCTGTGTCAACACCAACATTTTTACCACTGGCCAGGTAGACAAGTGTATGGTAATACAGAATCTAATAATATAACTCAAGGTGTTTGTCATGGCATAAAATGCTTAATAATCCACTTAAGTCATTTTTAGAAATAAGGTCTTGATACAAAAAAGAGAATTCTCTCAACATTAGAACTGTCCTTAAAAGTCTTGTATCTGGAAGTGTTTTCCTTAAAAAAAAAAAAAAAACAAGGTTCAAGATTTATAAAGTTTGTTAAATTTCTTGAAAACTCCTTTCTTCTTCCAAGTTCAACCAAATCTTTTTGCCAAGGGATAGAGGACAGAGTTACTAAATCTATACTATTGCAGAAAGATCAAGGAGAGGGAACTAAAATCTATATTTGTATATAAAGACATTCTAATCAAACAAAGCTACCAGAATACTAGCATCAGTCAAGTCTCTGGAATATGAATTAACTCCGTTTCCTCTTTCTAAAAAAAGGGAAAGAAAAAAAAAAACTCAAAAAACCCTGTGATGTTAATAAAAACACAACACACCTTAAATACCCTGATTCTTAAAATGATTAATCATAATATGATAAGAGAGCATCAAAACTTCAAAGCAGTGGCCTCACTCCAGTGCGGGATGACAGCGCTAAGCCACAAAGTTATCATATTATAACATGGAGAGCAGTCACAATACCCTGCCACCATGCACTACAAGCTCTCTTGGGTGTCATTTTCACCCGTGACTTACGAGATTTTCCGGTTTGAAGCCTCATCATCAGTGTGTAAACTGAAGCTGCTCCAGAGGCAACAGGGAGAGAAGCAGCTCTGGTGGCTTTTGGACTGAAGATACTCAGGCAGAGAAACCAATCTGGCGGTGGTGTAAGAAATGAATGGCACCGGAGGAAAAGCAGACAGTAGGAGAAGAAAGGACAAAGTAGAAGAGAATTAGAAATGAGATGGCAGAATGAAAAAGAAGGGCAACAAAAGAAAGTCAAAAAGTGAAGGAAGGTGGGGAGCAGAGAGAGAAAGGAGACAGAGAAAGGAGGAGGAAGAGAAAAAAAATGTAAACAATCTTTGGGTATATGAAAAGCAACATGTACCATATGCCTGTACTTCTGATTGCTGTTTTTACGTCACAGATGCTATCCAATGACCAAATACAGAATTAGAATTCAGGCACATATCCGTGAACCACAGAGCTGGAATATCATCAATAAACATTGTTTAAAAACAAAAATTGGACCTCCCTGGTGGTCCACAGGTTAAAGTCTCAGCACTATCAAGCTATCTGCAGCCACTGCAGCATGAGTTCAATCCCCAGCCAGGGAGCTGACCCACATGGCACAGCAGACCTCTCCTGTCTTGCCCGCTGCTCCCCTCAGCAGTGTCTTTCAGTAGATCTGCCTATTCTGCTCCTAACTCTGTCTCTGTGATTCCTCTCACCTCCCGCACCTCTGGCCTACACTTCAGTTCTAGCATGCATAAATAAATCAATCTTTAAAAAATCAAAATCTGAGCTTCAGGTCAACAAGTGGTATGACAGTTACTACCATAGTGATTTTTCTGAACCTACAAATTTACAGGAACCCACAAAGGAGAGTAAAAGAAAATTCAAAAGTTCTATTCCTGAGCTTAGAACTGTTCAAATGACAAAACAGAAAAATGTGATGGTGATTTCTGAGTTGGTCATTCAAGCACACCTGCCAACCAGAAATGTCAGAGTCCCTGAGTTTCTCAAGATAGCATTTCCACCATGTCTATCTCCATACGTTTGGCCTAGTTTTCTAATTTAAAATGAACTCCAGCAGAATCTACCTAGAGCCAAATATGAAGCTGATCAGGTTGGACAGGTTGCCTTCCAGGGTCCAGCGATATGACTCTCCTTAGACCCAGAATGTTTCCCACATTTTCCTGATTCTACCAGAAACAATGTATGCTCAACAGACAATAATTCTTCAATGATTCAAAGACAGGCATAAAGAATTATTAATTAAAAAGAAAGAAGATTAAAAGGCTATCTAGCCAATATGAGATACTTTTCATTTAAGAATGGAAAGAAAAACAAATTAAAATGTACATTGTCAATTAAATCCCTTACACATGATTACACAGAAAATAAGAATTTCCATTCAAGTACCAAGCTGGTTAAGGAATTCTTCAGGCATAACCAGCCTTTCTTCAACTTCCAAATCAGACTAGCGAATTCTCTGCCCACATGTAAACTTGGATATATTGCCCTTGGTATACTACAAATACCTTGAGATGAACTGCAACACTGCTCTTCGTTATTAGTGAATCAATTCGTTCCAAATCCAAATAACATTTTTGGCATTTCTAAACGAGGAAAATCTAAATGGCTGATTGGAAGCACCATATTCAAATGTCAAATCCTTCAGTAGAACTAAATTTCATGAGAGACTTTAACTTTCCATAACCAAAACCCAAGTCAAAAGGCTACCCAATATGAAAGTCTCATATCCACTTATTCACTGACCAGCTCCAGACACAGGCATTCTATTACAAGACCCAACACCCGTGGTGATCATAAATGTTTTCAGTAACAATGTCCACTTTTCAGATCAAATCTGAAATAAGTGAGATAAATTGTTCAAGCTACAAGGAGTAAGCAACATTTGGAAATGAAGGGCTTATTAATAAAACATGTTACATTAATAAAACTCCTAGAATATTGATACCTTTATGAACTTACTCTAGATGGTACCTCTGTCTTCACAGGCAGAAGTTTTGATTTATTCACCCATGTATATTAACTCTAAGTGCAGTGCTTGGCAAATTCTAGAAACTCACAAATATCTTTTAGTGAATGCGTGACTACAGGTATGAATGAATGAACAATCCCAGTGATACCACACCAGACACAGGTACAAATGGTCAACTGCCATCCTCCGTCAGTATAGAGTGATGTCAGCAAGAGACACTAGAGAAGGAATCCTTAGGCAGAAACAGAAAAGTCTGAAAATTGAGAACCAAACAGCACTGCTTAAAGGCATCTCATTATTTAAAAGTATCATTAGAGCAGTCCATGCCTATGGATGATAACAGGTCCCATAGAACACATAAGTGAACTACTACTGGAGAAAGGCAAGGGAGGTGAAGGGTATGAATAACAATAAGGAATTCTTGAAATTCTCAAACCTCAAAATGCTGCCTCTGGCAGGAAACAGAACCTAAATCACAAGGTCAGCACCTATCTGATTTCAAAGCTTATTTGCCTATTGATAGAATTCTGTTTAGCTGAATTTTCTCTTTCTGTGCTGAATGAAGGTGTGGTGTTTCTTGAAAGCTTTTAACACTACACGTATTGCCTGAGTGATAAACTCCTAAACAAAGTTTCTCTTAGAATCCCTGGAAATGCAAGTGTTGTGTGGCAAGATACAGGAGAAACTGCCCAGGATCATCAGAACAAGTGAGGGGCCCTGCTGTCCTAGTGCATCCTCCTCCTGATTAAAGGAACTCACCGCAATGCAGAATGTCTTCCAGAACGAGAGACACTGTTGCCCACGGGAGAGGGCAGGTTGCTCCCTCTGTGAAGGTCCTCAATGGATCTACTCCAGGACTTGGACTTGTCCACTGAGCTCTCCACTGTACTTTCCACACTTTCAAAGTCAAAACTAAAACGAGAGAAATGCCACTGATGACTTCAAAAACACATTTTCACCCAAGTACATGGATAACTTGGTCCTTCCTATTATCTACCTGCACTTTAATACAGGAAGTCTTTGCAGACAAAGAAAACTAAAATGAAAATACAGAAAAATTATATGGACCCAATATTAAATTTGAAAATACAGAACATATAAATACTATACCAGGCAAAAAGAATAGTTGTACAGCAGTGAAAATGAAAGAGTAATGCATTATTCTATAATATTTTACTATAAGGCTTGCTAACCTACCAATTGTTAACACTGCTATGATGGCAGGAGAGAAAAGGATCTTACAGCTGTCTTCATTTTGCTTTAACAAGTCAATATGTTAGGTTTATACTAATTTATTCCTACCCATCAATTTTCACTGAGCATTTTCTCCTAGTATGTTGGCAAGTATACTTTTCCAACCATATGTGATACATTACTCTCAAAGTTATGGATTTGCTTTGATTTTGGAATCTCTTCCCAATGTGGTACTCTTTAAAGTAGGACTGTTGTTTCTCTGAGATTTTTTGAGGTTATTACTCATGTTAACCATGTTAGAATAAATGGTAAATTAAGTTGCTCGTTCTTGTATAATTTTAGGAAGAAAGTTTTTAAACAGACTGGCTTTTGTGTTCTATACATTTTTCTCCTCCAAAGTCAGTAGCTCTACTTTCTCCAAAAAAAACTTTTATCTTTGTTTCTACCTTTAGTTCTACCATGTAACTAAGGGTACCATGATCAGACAGCAGAATAAATGAAAGGTATCAGTAGTATTCTATGGAAGATTTTGAAGATATGGCAGAAGAAACAACCATACAGAGTGGAAATAAAAAGTATGATTTTTTCTAAGAGTATGACTGACAAAATAAAAAGTAGTTGGAACAGTCATCTGAAAACTAAGTGATATTCTCCACCTATTAAATACTAATTCAGATGACAGAGATTGAAGTAACAGGTCAGTGAATGAGTCTCACAATTTTGCCATAGCTTTGGATGTGGGAAGGGCTGCCAAACAAAGGAAGTAGAATTGGGTAATCAAATAGATCCTGAAGTATTACAAATGGAAGCCTGTATCTGAGATTGGATAAGGTAAGTGAGGGAACATCCCAAGATCTCAAGTCATGAACACTCCCACAAGGTAACTCTGCAGCCCCCACTTTGCTCAGTTGTTTAGCACTGCTGAGCCAGGATGCACGGGCAGGTTCACTATCAATTTGGGCAGATGGATAAAGGAGAGTCCCAGAGCCCTCGGTGGATTTTTCAGGCTTTAATCCTCTCTCGAGGAACCAGGTACACAGGCACACCAGGCAGCAAGGCTGGTATGCAAGGAGACAGGCAGGCAACCAAACCTCTCAGCCACCCATGAATCTCTAAGCTCTTTCTCTGGGTTCTCTCTGACATTCTCTCATGTCATTTTGTGATCTTGCCTCTTCGGTAGTCAAGCCGCTACTCCTTCCCATAGCCATAATCCATCTCTAAGTGATGCCACCCTCATAGCCCAGGCCTCCAGGCTCAAGTGTGCACACTTACACATGCCCTCACCATGTTTCAGGTGTCCACAATCAGGCAGGCACACACACGCTGCACCCATGCTCTCAAGCGCCTTCTGCATTAACACTATCAAGGCTGCAGGTGAGAGCCATAGAGTCTAGGGATATTAAAAGCCTTATTAATTCATTTACCCTACAAGCACTCATGTTCTCAGCTCGTCCCCCAGCAGAAATGCACGCCTTGGTGAAAGTTTCCATTTTAGGGATGGAGCATATTCTTTAATATTACACGGGCTAGGAAACTGTCACATGCCAAGGAATGGTAAGAAATCTTTTCAGTTTCAAAAAGAACACAAATTACATGTCTATAATTTTTTATCTTATTAAAGCAAACCACCACCAAAACTAGTAAGCAAAGAGTAAAAAGCTTTTGTTCTAAAACAAAAGTTCTTGGTTGCTATCTTTTGTTGGTTTGATCTATGCTGCTGACTAGAATTCCCTCAGAGTGGCACTACCTTTTCCAATGGGTCTTAGTGAAGGTACAATTAGGAAAAGCTAGCTCATAAGCTTTGTAGATAAAGAGGTTATTACAGAAAACCTACATAATCAAGCATGCCACTCTAGTCCATTATTCCTAAAGTTTTCTAGTCTTAATTCCACAAATATTTCATAAAAATTCCATTAATAAGCAACAGGTATTCTGTTTGGTTGCAAATATGAAGTATAAGGAAGATTAGTGTATTTTTATGTAACGGAGATAGGTAAAAAAAACAATCTTTGCAATAAGCTTTTAAAAGCTAGGATTATATTTCATAGGACAATTTTACAGAATGATAAGAACTTGTCTGTTGTTTTTCTTACTCAATTCCTTATAACACACAAGAGTTACCAAAACTGAAACTCATCAAGGCAGTTTCAGTTAATACTTTAGTTTATGCAACCAAGGTAATTATAGCTTTCTCTTCACAAATTCTCAAGGAAGTGATGGGGATTATAAGTTAACATCTGGTTAGGTCTTGAGATTGTTTTTGGAATGAGGCAATGTGAAAAACATGTTATCGTTTTCAAAAGTGGTGAACTTAAATGTAGTACATGCACATGATTTTCAATGGTGCACACCTGAAATTTATGCAATGTTAAGATGCAACAGTACTTTAATTAAAAGAAAGGAAAACTGAGAGGACAAAAATACCACCTGAGTGAAATCCCTTCCAGTTGAATTAAAAATAAATTATTTCCTCAGTCTCTGTATGTCAGAATACATCTCTGGATACTAGAACATTGTTTGATTAAGAGTAAATGTGAAGAGTTGTCTCATTCAAATGTACACTTTCCATTCCTGTTACAAATCTTTTCAGAAGTCTGCCAAACGGGGCCTCCCCTGGTGGCGCAGGCAGTTGAGCACAGCACTGTGAAGCTGCCCACAGCCTCTGCAGCACCGGTTCAATCTCGGCTGCCGGGCGAGGGTCCCACATGGTGCAGCAGACCTCTCCTGTCTTGCCCACTGCTCCCCTCAGCAGTCTGCCTGTTCTGTTCCCCAATCTGTCTCTGGTGAATCCTCTCACCCTCCCATGAGTCTGGTTTGTGCCCCAGTTCTTGTATAAATAAATAAATAAATCTTAAAAAAAAAAAAAAAGCCTACCAAATGGGAAAATTATGAGTGAACAAAAAAATCAAGGTTAAATCAGCTGAATTTTTTTCTTCCTGTTGCAGGTTTTCTCTCCTTTGCCATAAGAGGAGGCCATCAATAACATAAAAGCAAACTTAGTCGCTTGCGTATTGTTCTCTTCTCCTTCCAGGTCCAAAGCCTCTCCCTGCAACCACACTCCACCAGATTCTCAGAAGCATCCTTGTTTTGATACCCTTCTTTGTACTTATGGGAGCCAGAGAAGCCATGTAGGTTATGTATCTGACTTTGTTCAATACAGATGTCAGTTGGGACAGAAAGAATACCTGAAACCTGGAACAAACCAGGTGCCAATGATCATTACCAGTTCTACTCAGTGAATATGGATGAGAGAAAAACTCAAGAAAGAAGGGCCAGACTTCCAAATGAAGTATTTCACTATACAGTGGCTTAAAATGAAAGTCTTCCAGAAGTTATCCTCACAATTCTCCACTTAACCAGGCAACATTTTCCCTCTAAATGCATGAACTCTTGTTGCTGTATTGTGTTGGGGTTTACACTGATTAATAAATATCTGAAACTTGGGAGAAAAATATTATATATCCTATGAAGTAAAAAAGGGAAAGCCTCTTTTCACTCCTTCCTCCATTTCTGCAATCATTTTCTCTGCATTTATCAATAGAGAATATACAAATATACATATATATATATCACTTTTTTAGTAAAAAGGGAGATTTCTGCATCGTACTTTGTTCATTCAACAATATATCATATACCTTTTTTTCAATAACTGCTCAAGTATTCTACCATATGGCTATATATATAACTTGAGCACTAAAGTCCTACTTTTAAAGACAAGAGTTTTCTAGGGTGGTTTTTACTCACCTGTTTTCTTTCTGCTTAAAATGTATTACTAATATCAATTAAGTGATTTCTTTTTAGATAAAAGGAACAGTAACAACCCCCTTAAATCCACCTCTGCTTCTGAGTATAGTGTATAATTTCACTACTGAGTTGCATCTTCGGTGGCCACACAAATTACAAAATAAATAAGCCACGTTGTACTTACGTTACTGCATACTGAGCAAATGACAGATACTCCACTAGAACATCAAGGCCTTTGTTTTCTTCATTCAAAAACTCTCTGACCCATCTGGTAAAGCAAAAGAAAAAAGATTTCAGAGGTTCATCACATGCTCTGCCATGAAAGGATACTGTGAAACCTTTTGTTTTTCTACCAGAAACATTTACTGCTAGAAAGGAAATATGGAGTAAGGCTTAGACTATCACCTGAAGAGGGGCTTTTAGATGTGGCAACAAAAAAAACCCATGTGTACAAGAAGAGGGGGGAAAAGGGATGTGTGTGCCCCCCTTGCACTTTACTGTTCAGGAGACTTGGGATAACTTATAAGAAACTTTCTAAAAAGGGAACTTGCTAACTGTACTTCTTCCACCACAACTGATCCATAGCCTTCTTATGAAAGGAGCCAAAACTGCACAGGGAATGAGGCAGACAGGGGACATGACGACATAACCACTGAAATCCAGGCGTGATTCCAAATCCAAGTTCAACTCCTTCTTGGCACACTAAGATGCAGAAAACACAAAACCAGCCAATGACAGACCAGTGATTATAGGCTTCTGGAAATTCAATAGGGATAATGATTTGCTTAATTTTTTCCATGAATGTTAAAACCTTTTTGAAAACTGCAGTCATCACACACTATCTCCAAAGTCAAGATGTGATGAATGCCATGTTTTTTAAATTTTTTCTTTCTTTTTAAATAATAAATATCACCATGCACTTGAATGGTAAATCTGGATGCAGTTTACTGAGAGTATTTACACAATTTTTATTTGCTCTTCATAATAATTCTTAGAGAAGTAAAGCAGTCAAAGGGAACTTTCAGGTAATGAGAAGAAATAACTGTTACCCCACATGACCAATTTCCTCCAAAGCAACCATCTTCGAAGAACATGTGACACCCCAGTAAGCCTTCATTTGGTTTGAAACCCCAATAAATAATGAGTAAAAGTGTCTGCTAGTATCACAGAATTCAAACTTAGGGGACATCTGTCAATGTCATTCTGAAATGGTTACCTTTCTTCATGAATACCTAGCCCCAAGTCCACCACGCACAGACACGGAAGCTGCTGCTATGGAAGCCATTTTTTTGAGCTATGGAACAACAGTATGGCAATCTATCCAGTTCCCTAAAGGATAAACAGCCCCTTAAAAGGCCTTTGTCTAAAAGGAAGAAAAAAATCTGGTGAACTCAAGATGCTTTTTTCATTTTGTTTCAGGGATTTTTCTTTCTTTGTTTTTTGTTTGTTTGTTTTGTTTTGTTTTATCCTTAAATTCATTCCTCTTTGTAGGCCTGTCATAGCCATAAGTTAAACTCAAGTCAGCAGATAAGCTTCAGGAGACAACTAGATGGGAGAGTAAACAGCTTGCCTCCTATTTTCCCCTAAGTGTCTCAGTCAGGTTAACATAAAATGTAAGCACTTCACAGTCACCTGTAAACAAAGAACATTTAAAAGAGGTCAAGAGTGGTAACAAAGGCCATGAACTACCACTGGTCAGATCTCACAAAGTGGCTTTGTTCTAGAATTGACACAGTTAACAGGGCTGGCTACTGGGCTAGGCAATGCTTCATTTCTAAACAACCGCATACACAAACTCAGGGCATCTGCATCTAGGTTATTTTCATTTACTTTATTTACTCACTAGATGGCTAGATCTCAGTGCACACAGACCATTTTTAAGTGCTAATATTAAAAGCTAAGAAATAGTTAAGTAATTTCTCTTTTTTACAATTGGAGCAAAGATTCAAACTCACTATGAAAATCAAATGAGTAGCTCTTGAAATCCAAGCAATCCAAGCCCCTTAGCTTCTCTCGGGCCTCTCTGTTAACTGGCCTATGGGCTGCGGCTACATGGTTGAAAGAGGCCCTTGGTGATGGGTCACAGCAGGAATCCCCTGGGGCTGGTTATAGGGTCCACCTTGTAATATAAATAGTCACCACCACAAGGTCCAGATTTTTCACAGCAGTCTCAGTTTCACATATTCTATCTCAGTGGCCCAGAATTTAGGAGCTGAGGAAAAGTCAGTGTAGTTCCTTCTGGTTGATTTTCCAGACACTATCTCCAAAAAGTACAAATGGTCCAGGACTAGGGAGTCCTCAAACCATTATCTCAACCATGAGCACCTCCATTTTACTTAAAAAGTTTAGCCACAAACTGAATGGGTGACAAATGGCCCACATAAAAGTTGGGGGGAGGATAAAAAGAGATAGTTGGGACTAGCCATGCATGCCCAGAGCTACAATTCTCTTGACTCAGAATGCTAATATGCATATATTTCGATGCAGGTATAAAAAATTGGTTTCTCTTCAATTCCACACCTTTACTAATGGCACACCCCACTTGCAGACTTTGACTGAAGGTACCTTAAAATTTTTCAAAGTGAAATTTTCATTTTTTTTTTCCAAAGTGAAAATCAGAAGCCAGCTGTTCAGTTCCTGTAATGTCAGTTACGATGTAACATATCCCAGATTCTGAGAGGTTTAAACATAGTTAACCTCTTTTTCTAAGAGGTACAAGATCCTGGCTGGGTATTTGCACTGTACATACACCCCCCGCCACTCCAGGTGATAGGTGATATAGAAAAGAGTAAGAGTGACTCCCTTCCAGCCCCTGTCAAATGATGTCAGGTTAGCAAAGTAATTCAGCAAAAAAGGTTATGGATTATATGATCATAATCACTTCTTCCCCTGTCCTCTTGATCCAATTCCTTCCCCGACTTGGGCTATTCTATATAGGTGAGATGAGAATGAACTTCTGCAGTAATCAAAGAATGTGGAAAGAAAATAACTAAAGATGGAAGGCCAGCAAGATAGATGCACCACCCTGCAGGTTTATGTATATGATCATGCAACGAGATATCATAGATTGAAGTCTCCCCTCCATACATGCCACATACACTTTTTCGTACATTGCCAATATGAAAATAGTCTTAAACTTGGTGATTATAGGTTTTGGAAAATACAATTATTTCTGATCCAACAGCATGCATCACTTGAGTATCTTACAGATTTAACATAATTACTACATGCTGTAAGTATGAATTTAAGCAAATTTCAAATCAGCTGCTTAGAAGTTGGAAGAGACAATGATCATGAAAAATAGCTCTAGAAAAAAATGTTATCAAGGAAGCGATCTAAGTGCAGATGCCAACAGTTACTGTTGTATCATTTCAGAATTGCTGTTCTTTTCTGTCTGCCCCCAAAATCTTATAACCTCATAGTTCTCATCTACAAAATGAAGTCCAAAGGATGGTTCTGGTTTTACATTTCTAAATAGCCTAGCAGACTCAAGGCGCACAAGAAAAATAGAGCATTCCCTTTGCCAAACTCCCTTACAGATGTACTATAGACAGGGTAGAAATGTCAGTTGCTGAAAAATCAGGATGAAAATCATGAGAAGTATGAGAAAGATGAGCATTACCCAAATTCACCTTGAGCTAACAAATCTATTGTGCGTCACAAAGTGGTGAATAATCCATATACCACTAGGGGTCCCTGACACCCTCTCAGGGGGCTGTGAATTTAAAACTATTGCCATAAAAATATTAAGACAGGGTTGCTTTTTCCCCTGTGTTTGTGATACAAAAGAAATGTGGATAAAACAACTGCCACCAAAGAATACACCTACATATTGTACTCTGCACCCCATGCAATTGAGAGGGGAAAAACAAGTCAGCTTAACTTAAGACTTCTTAGTGTCTGTTTAAAGCAAAAAGTAAAAGGAAAAAAAAGTCTTTAGAGAAACAATACAAATTATTTGACTACATTAACACATGCTTTTTGAGTACCCAGGCATTTCTTGAGCTTCATTTCATTGCACTTTGAAGATACTGCATTTTTCCACAACTTGAAGATCTGTGGCAACCCTGCATTGAGCAAGTCTATTTTTCCATCAGCATGTGCTCACGTCATGTCTATGTCTCAATTTTAATTAATGTTATTGCACACTTAGTAGACTACAGTCCAGTGTGAGCATAACTTTTATATGCACTTGGAAATGAAAAAGTTGTGATTATCTTTATTGAGAAATTCACCCTATAGCACTGATTTAAAACCAAACCCACAGTATCTCGAACATGAGTCTATACATCATTTTAATTTTCTGTGTAACTAAGTGAAGAGTCCACATAAAGCAACCTGTTGGACCAAGTATCACAGATGTCTTGAAGAAAAGCATTTGTACAATTGTTTGAGCTGAAACTGAACTAGCCACTTTTTTTACACAGAATGTAAGATGACAAATTAGTTATTCTGTTTTAAATATAAGGCAGATATTTTCTCAAAAGTGAATGAAGTGGGTGTAATTTTAAGGAAAACTGATGGTATTTGCTGTCACAGATAAAAGTTGAACGTTCAAACAAAAAGTTAGAATTTTGAGAACACATGTATTCACCCCAATACCTAACATATATTCTGATAAGACTGATAATTTTTAACAAACATGATTGCTTTTACAATGTAAAATAAAATGTGTAATGTTTGAAAGATCAGAATAATTGAGTAAAACAGTATTTCCAAATGACTAATTCATGATGCTACAAAATTATGCATTAAGAGACCCAAAGTATAAGCAGTAAATGAATTTTACTGTAACAGTACAGAAAAAAACTGATATGGTTTCAGATTCCACATTGCAACAACTTTAATTACAACTTCTTAAATGTTTGTATATTATCAAAGAATATCCACAGTTCTAAGTAGCTTATTAAAAACTCCTCCTCCCAAGTATTATATATGTAAGTTAGTCAGATTTTCTTCCTAATACATCAGCCAAGACACAGTATCACAACAAGTTAAATGTAGATAAAGATATCTGAATCCAGTTGCCATCTATTAATCAGACATTAAAGAGACTGTAAATACACTGTAAATACACATTAAAGAGACTGTAAATACAAATCAATGCCACTCTTGCCTTTAATTTTTTTTTTTTTGTTCTGGAAGTTGTTATTTTTCATGACTTGTTATATGTGCTATAATATCTTGTTATTTTATGTTATTTTATGTTAATATATGTTAATATATTTCCTAACTATGCATTATTAAACACTAAATTCTATTTAGCATGCATATTTAAAACCTATCAGTTTAAATTTCCAATACAGTAAACACTAAGATAAAATCCATAGAAAGCAAAGCATATATTGGGATACAAAATAATTCAAGACAGTAAAAAGGGTTCTAAAATCAAAAATTTGATAATTTCTCATTTGGGTTTTAGATTTAGTCATATCTAGGTTCTAATCTCAGTGCTTCTAGGACTTGAACAAGATACTTAATAGCAGGCTCAGTTTTTTCATCTGTATCGTACCTCATCAGAGATAAAAGGCAATAATGAAAAGATTTTTCAAAGAAATAAATAACAAATTTAGCATACCTAATACACACGTAATGACAAAATTATGATGGTAAGATTTCCAGAAAGCACCAAGAATGAACTAATCCTAAAGTGACTTCACACACACACACACACACACACATCTCTTAAACACAGACTTAGTTCTCCTTCTCTTTTTCCTCCTTTGGCCTGGATTGGCCAGAAATTTTTCACAAAGAATCCAGGAAGTCTTGGGGGGAAGATGTTCACTGAGTAGTTCCTCAGCTCCTTCCCCTTTCTATAAATCTTCTCTCCTTGCCAACTTGCACATTCCTCCTGCAACATCATGCCCATTCTCTCAACTGCCCCAATGAGATAAAGTAAAACGAGCATCTCCCAAGATTTCTATGACCTTGCACTCAGGATAAAAGTAATCTTCTACAATAATAGGCAACTTTAGTAAAATAAATTACCTGCAAGAAGAGACAGACCACATCTCAATTCCATGGTGAATAAAGCCCATATATCTGTGCAGCTCACCACCATCACGATCACTTGAATGTTATCACCCTGACATCCAAAACACGATGACATCTGCCCCCTTGTGCTGCATGGCCAATGAGTTCTAACAGAACTAGGCTCCTTTTTCAAGGCTATTTCAAGTCATTTCAAGGGTTTGCATAAGTCATAATCCAATTCTTCTCTATTGTTACAGTTCCTAAAGTAAGTGAATGAGATTATTTCTAGTCCAATTCTCATTTCAATTTGGCTCAGAGAAAATTAATTTTCTCTCAGAAGATTGCTCCATTTATAGAGTTTTTAGACTTACATCAAAACTCAGAAAAAATCTTTTACTTGACTAGGCTCTAGTTTGGAATGTTATCTCAGCAAGCCCCAGACTTTAACCTTGAAAAGTAAGCATATGCCAAGAATAATTTCTTCAGGACAAGTATACTTTAAACATAATTCTTCCTTTTAATTTCTGGGAATCACAATTACCCACGTGGCCAAGTCACTCTAGACAGAAAAGATAACATTCTTTGCATCAAATTCTTTAGGGATATATTACATAACACTGTTGAATTATTTTTATATACTATAACAATTATTATTATATATAGTATTTTTAACAAGTAAAACAACACTAGTTATTATATACTGAGCAACCACTATGTATCATATCCCATATTAGGTCTTTTATAAGCTATCTCATTCAATCCTTACAACATTCCCACAAAGTATTATTATCTTGATTTTGTAGATGAAAAGTTAGATGAGATCACATGGTAAATAAATACAGGAAGTCTATGTAGTTTGTCTAAGATCAGTAACTCATATGTGGCATGGCAAAAAAATTGAACTAAGATCTCCCTTTCCATAAGGCAAACAGGCACACAATTACTTTTCTAGCAATAAAGACTATGGATCTGGTATATAGGAAACTTGCCTTCCATAATACCTCACTGTAGCACTGATTATTTTCTTAATGAGTAATTCTTCAAATGATTTCCCATTCAAATGAGATCAAGCCAGTTAGTTTCCACAATGAAGAGTCCAGGTTCAGGTTTGGATTTTCAGAATGAGCAAAATCCTAATGTGTGATTTAATACCATGTAAGAGTATGCCAGTAATTGGTTACATACAACCAGATAATGCATCTTCATGAATCTTCCTGCTGCTAAAGCCAAAGTTTTCAGAATGTTCCAGAAAGGTGGGAGGCAAGAGAAAAAAACTTTAGCTGAAGATGAAAGAACTGTAAGAGTCTTGCAACATTCCTATACTATCCTAAACAACAACCTACTCCAATTGCTTGCAGATTTGCACTGGCTTTAATCCAAACAGGGCTCTTCTAGTCAGCCAACTCTGTATTGGAAATGATCATCTAGCTTTGGTATTTGATGGTCAATTTCACATTACTTCAGCGATGCTTGAAGAAATGCTTTTTAACAATTTGTAGAAATCCTGGCTGCAGTTCATTCCACCATTTTCAGTCAAGAAGTATGGCCAAAAGCTTAGAGTCAGACCTTACCAAATGGAATTTAGTTCCCAATCTGCAAATATTGAGAAGTAGTTGAATTTCCTAAGTTTGGCAACCCAAGTGCATTGAATCACCACCACATTCAACCTTAACAGATAAGCCTCATTGCTTTCATCCCAGAGTCCCAATGACATTATTTCCTTTCAGAAAAAGGGCTGCCAGGTTAAGCTACATAAGGAAAAGAACATAACATTTTGATCCAAATCACATGGCTCTAGTTTTAGACTTAGTGGGAGTTACTCGCCTTCTCTGATCTTTAATTCTTTTACCCCATAAAATAATGGATTAAGCAATGCTTAATTTCTAGTTCAAAAATCATAGTTCTATGACACTGTTCTATAAAATCCATTTTCTGGAACAGAGGTGATTATCAACTTTAGGTTAAAATCAGTTTATTTTCCCAATACTTTCTTCTCAAGGTGGCAAACATACTGGGCTATCCATTAGGAAATGAACATTCTCACTCCATCACCTATAAATCAGTCTTGCACTTTCACAATATAAAAAAAGCTTATTTTGCAATAACTATAGAAATTAATCATTTGATTGACTGGCTCATTCCAAAACAGTCTTAAGTAGAAAGAAACTATTATTTATGTAGTATATTTCACAGGATATGTGAAACTATAATGTAGCAAACATACAAAACTTCATTTCTAAAAGACCTGCAAAGAACATCACAGGGAAAAATCATAGAAGACCTCAAGTCTATAGTATTCTTATCGTAGAACTCAATAATCAAAACCCAGAGAAGTTTAATAACTTGCCTGATGTTAAACAGGTATGTTAGGCAGAAATAAGGTTACATACCAGGATACCTATATCATTCTGCCTTGGAAAAAAAACCATCTTGTTTTAAGACACTATACAATTATGCCATCCCAGGAGTAAGGGAGAATGTAAAGAACTTTTATTTGCTTGACGCAAAGCAACCATGCTACTTCAAGAAAAACTCTCAGAAATGTTTACTGCAAAGATTCTCCACGCTTGGCCTTCCCAGAGTGAATTTATACTTCCAGGTCCTGAAATAATGGGAAAAAGAGCCTAGGACAAAGTAAGTGGAATGATGTGGGTCAGGAGCCATCATCCCAGCTTTGTCCCTGTCTGGTCAGAAAAGCCAAGGAACAGAGGAAAGGGGAGAAACTCAACAAGCCAGCTTGGAGAAATCCTGTTAACACTTACAGATTTTCCTACATATTTTGCTGGGGAATCCTGATTTGTTGTTGAAGAGAAACCAAGCAATTATCACTGCATTCAGGCAAAGAATCTTAGAATTGTTAATAAATACACAAAATCACAGGCTATGTGTGCTGCTTCTACAACTTCTTGCACAGTGAGCACTTCGAGTACTAACGAAAGTTCTAAACTTCAGTCTTTTCACTTATAATGAAAAATAAGGAAGCTTAATTCTTTGGATATGATCCAATCACTTTGTAAAGTGTCAAAACCTTAGAGCTAAAATGTTAAATGGCACACTTACCCAATATGGTTGGTTCGTAAAGAAATTTCCAGTTCTCTTAGCACTTGGGTAGATTCTTGAACACGCCGTCTGAATTTCTAAAATTCAAGAACATATTCTCACAAAAATATATTTTAGCAAACATTATAACTGCACCTTACTTACAAGTTTAATACAATATGAAAATGTTTTTGCTTCTAAAGTGGGTTTCTCTGACATTTCTTTTTGCAAAGCACACATTTTTCTCATCAACAGTATCAAATGAGAAAGGACTAGGACAAATGACTAATTTTATGTCTAAATGTCATTGAATAAGTAGATTATTTTTCCCCACCCCACAGTACAAAAATATTCACCTATTTACTTATGTGTCAGGATCCCTAAGATCATGCAGTATCAATTATTCAACAGGACTCAGAATTGAGTTGTCCTCACAAGTAGGATTTACTACAGAAAAAAAGGAGAAAGCACAATCTGTGAGGGCAAAGTCCCTCGGAAGCACAAATGACAACATGGGTAAGATGCTGTCCACTAGGGAAGCTCACTGCGAGTAGGTGCCTAGGTTTTTATTGGGGGTTACGTAGGCACTCTCTGCCTAGGACATACTCAAATGCCGTACTGTGAGAAGGAAAGCAAGCATTCAGCATAAACTACATTGTTGGCACACACAGTTTAGGCATAGTAAGACATCTATCAGGGAATGGTGGGAACGCTTCCAAAACGTAAGTTCTCGGTTGCCACTCAAGGGCAACATTGCAAGAAGACCTTTGTAAGCAGCAATCTCAGTCCTGTTATTCAAATTATTTTTTGCATGTACTAACAGTTTCTATGCATTCAGTTACAGCTACCCGTGAGTCCTCATTGGAAGGTCCCTCCTCTGGAGCCCTTCTCCTCCAGCTTTTGAAGTGTCCTTCCTCATTCCTTTGCCTACCAGAATCCCAGCTACCCTTCCAGAACTCCCTGAGGTCTTTCTTCAGGGAATCCCCTGGTGGTAAATGCACTTATCGACCTTCCCCATTCTAAATAATCCCCAAGGTATCAATGGTTGAATTATTTATCAGTTCTTTAGAAGACAATTTCCTATAGAAACATTTATTTATAGTGATTAAAGTCTCAGGTCACTCTGGAAGGACATTTGATATGCAATGCCTTCTGAGAAGATTCTATATACATCGTGCTACAGACACAAATCATCTTCATATGACATTGTTTCAGGAAAAACCTATGTGAATTCCAGCTCAGAATATTAGGAATTCCTATCCTCTGCTATCGCAACTGCAGTGCAAACAGGGTTATCCAATGCAAATGAAAAAGGCATTTAAGGACAGGAAGGGAAGGACAAAGGCTGAAAAAGGATAGTTCCAGATTGAGGGACTGGGAGAACCTGACCTTGCTCTGCTCTGCTCAGCATGGTGGGTTCCTGACCCCTTTTCTGCAGTCCCAATGAAGCAAAGAGACTCAGTTTCTCCCTGATTGCCAATTCTAAAGCAACCTAAAAGCCTTCTCAGATATCCTGAAATATATTAAATAAAAGCTTCCCTAATGCAATGATAAAAAGGGAGGCACCTCCTCCCTGGTGGCGCAGCAGTTGAGCGCTGGGTTGCAAAGCTGCCCTCAGCCTCTGCAGTGCTGGTTCGATCCCTGGCTGCTCCCTGGCTGCTGGAGGAGGGTCCCACATGGCGCGCAGACCTCTCCTGCCGCCCGGGGCTCCCCTCAGCAGTGTACTTCGGTCCTTCTGCCTGCTCTGCTCCCCGCTCTGGCTCTGGTGAAGTTTCTTACCCTCTTGCGTTCTGACTGTACCCAGTGCTTGTATAAATAAATAAATCTTAAAAAAAAATAAAATAATTAATTTAAAAAAGGCGGGGGGGGGGGGGAGACACCTCGCCCACTTTGTCAAGAAAGGCCTAAGAGTCATCTAGAGACATTTAGAGTCATCTAGATTTTGGAAGGACATCTGAGCCCAGCATTTCCTGGAGAACCTTCAGGTAACGAGGACCTCTGATAAGGTAGGAGTCTACTGCTGCCCAGCTGAGGGCACCATTTCTAGGTGGTTCCCTGGCTGCTACAGAGTGGCCATTCTATTCAAGTCAGTGCCACAGAGTGGCCATTCTTTCCAAGTCACAAGTCTTGGGCGGCCTATACATGTGGCCTTAAGAAAACTACTCAGGGGCCTCCCTGGTGGCGCAGTGGTTGAGCGCTGGGTTGCGAGGCTGCCCGCAGCCTCTGCAGCGCAAGTTCAATCCCCGCTGCTCCCCGGCCACCGGAGGAGGGTCCCACATGGCACCAGACCTCTCCTGCCGCCCGCTGCTCCCCTCAGCAGTGTACTTTGGTCCTTCTGCCTGCTCTGCTCCCCGCTCTGGCTCTGGTGAATTCTCTCACCCTCCCGCGCTTCTGACTGTGCCCAGTGCTTGTATAAATAAATAAATAAATAAATAAATAAACTTTTTTAAAAAAAAAGAAAGAAAGAAAAAGAAAACTACTCAGAATTCATAATTATGCATTATGTGGCATTCTGACTCCTTCCCTAAAGGCTCTGCCGGTGCCCTGACTCTGCTTATGTTTACTCAGGGCAAGGTCATTCCTTAGATACTTCATCTGCCACAGGGCAGCCAGCACAGTACCATGGATCAGAGAGTAAAAGAGGATCTGTGGAAGGTCTTAAGAGGCATAATATCAAAACAAAATAATTCTAATCAAAATACAACAAAATAAAAGTAACAACAGCAGCTAATACTTAGTAGGCATTGACTGTGGCAGACAGTACACTTTTGCAACTGCATGATAACGGGGATAAAACTAAACTGATTTCTCCACTGTATTTTCTTCTCTTGGGAACTCCTCAATTTCAGCTGGACTCTGAACTATGGAGAAGCCTTGGCATCTACTGTTCTAACCATAAACAAGTGTTAACACTTTGCACTTCTATGATGTATTCAAAATTCTGCAGGGACCAGCAAAAAAGAACAGGGTACAGCAGTCTGTACCATTTGCCCATCCCTCCCCATAAAAAGTGGGCCCAGGGATGAGTCCACAGAAGCACTAGGGACCCATATTCAGGCTTCATCTCACAACTGCAGTGCCGGCAAAGAAGCAGGCTCCCTTATTCCTGGTCTTTATAGCCTTTTCCTGGGCCAGACATGTGAACCTTCCCTTCTCCTTCTGTATCTTGTCCCCCCCACCCCAACACCCAGTGCAGACTGAACACCTCCTGGTATTAATAAGCAAGAAGGCTGCTGACAGTGCTGGTCTAAGCTACCCAATGAAGGTACTTCGTTCTGCCCAGTGATTTCATTTAAAACTATTTAGAAGAAAATCTAAATAGAACATGCTTAATATTTTTTTTAGCATCTTGTATTGAATGTGAACCAAATATTAATGAATGAAATATTCAAGGACTCCAGTCACAGTTATGGAAAGAGTGTCAGTCTAGACACCTGGCTCAAATTGAAAGCCCTAACTTGACCTCCTTTCTTTTCTCCCCACCATAATACAGCCAAGAATCTTAAGCTCACTTTAACTGTAAGCCGTGCTTTCTTGCAAACAAAATCTCCTTTTTTCCAGGTTTTAAGCATGAAAATTATGTTGAGTAGAACAGATCATTTCCTACTGCCAGTTCTTGACAGAAATCTTACTAAAGCAAGACTGGTTGATCCAACATCCATTTTATTTTTTGAGCTGAATGACTGATGGTGAAAGATGAGGCACAGACCAAACAAGGCCACTCAGGTGAGTCTAGGGCAGAGACTTCAGAATGAAGAGCAAGCCAAAAAGACATCCTTTGTCTTGAACCTCTTCACTAAATTATTTGCAAGGGCACTAAACACTTTCTGAGCATCTCCTTTTCTGTTTGTTTTTTATCATTCTTTGCCTTAAAGCCAGGAATAACTGTTCCAAAGGATGATAGGGGCTGTACAGGAGGATTCGGTTCTTCCCTCCAAGCATCATCCTCTTTGGGGGCTTAGGAGCTGGAGTCTCAGAAGAGGACTCTAAGCACATTTTCTCCTTTTCAGAATCTGACATATGTGGAGATAGCTGTTCAGGGCTGACACTGACTCCATGCATTGGAGTTCTGTCTTGTGAACAAATGAACACATTTCTACCATACTCAGTGCAGATGAGCATACCTAATGCTGGGGTCTGGGCCATCCAGGCTGGAGGCTTACAAGTTGGAGAGTTTCTGAAAGTATTTCTGAAATAGAATCTTGCTGCCCCATGTTAATAAAAGATGAGCATACCTAATGCTGGGGTCTGGGCCATCCAGGCTGGAGGCTTACAAGTTGGAGAGTTTCTGAAAGTATTTCTGAAGTAGAATCTTGCTGCCCCATGTTAATAAAAGCCCAGGAAACCGCCTGTGTGTGTAGTATGTATTTTGTGCATATGTTGTGTCTCCACTTAACCCATAATCATCAGATTAGGATGAAAGCAAGTGTGTTACAACCCAGGGAAAGGAGACAAGAAAACAGCAAGAATTAAACAGCTATCTCATTTAAGGGTCTGACAGAAGATCTTTTTAAAAAAGAGAAAGGTGTGTACCACACTTGTAAGGGGGAATATATGATGATACTTTGACAGGTACATTCTTAGAAGGCAAGGCTATGTCACATTCAAGTCACATGGTATCCAGTTGACAGCAAAGGACTACAGTCCATCATCAGTGCTAGATTTTATTTCCACTTGTCTGCATGCTAACCAAAAGACAATTGAGCAGAAAACTCTAGGAAGGAACAGCCTTTCTCCTTTGCTTGACTTTGTGGCAGGGGGTGGGGGAGGTATGAATTTAAGAGTGCAAACAAAAGATGAAGAGAATTTACAAAAATATACAGGCACCAAGGACCCTAGCAACAGTGGCTGACTAGGAAAAGTGTACCTTTCTTTTCTCATGTGTCACACCCTGAAACAACAAAGGGAATTCAGCTCAAGATATTTTTGCTTCGTCCTTAAAAGCAGGAGTTGTGGAAGGTCAACCAAAAAGAAACTGCTATCTGACAAAGAACCACTTCTTCTTGAGCCAGAACAGCTAGACCTGAGCCATCCCAGGGCCCATCCAGGCCTTCAGGGCTATACCAGGTTCCCACTTTACCATGAGGCCTCAGTTTATATCAACTATGCAGCTGCACAAAGCAGGGTTTGTTTGCAAAAGGAGAAAGTCAGTTGAGAATGGAATCGGCTATTCTCTCCTTTCCTTCTTGGGGCCAGGGACAGGGATGGCAGGGGAAGCTGCTAAAAGCATCAACACAGGATGTGAGTGCACAGCTGGAATGACAAAGCTCCAGTGATTTTTCAAGGTCTCTGGAAATGTATCAAGGCATGAAAGACAAGTGTTCACTTGGCTAGACCTGCTTTTCTAGGGGCCTGAACACCTCTGGACTGGACTCACTGTTCTGTGTAATTGGAAATGGCAGTGTCTCAATAACCATTGGGGGTATGTGACTCCCACCCCAGGAGAGTACTTTTAACACATCCTCAGGCAAGGATGGCTATTTCTTTGTCTTTTCCTGTTGTCAGTCTCCAAAGGTTGTTTCCTGAAGGCTCTGGCAGAGGCTATAATGCAGAGGAAGAAAGGGCTCCTCCAATGCAGGTGGCGTCTGCCAGCTAATGAGGAAGTAACAACAAAGAGTGAAAACAAATCCATCTTACCTTCCTGGTTACAGCTGGATCCAGATAGCCTTTGAGCTTTTGAATATATGTATGGGGAGGATTCTTCACCTGGAATCGTTCCTGCAAGAAGCAACAATGTAAAGTAAAAAGAATGAAAGAGCTATGATGGCAAGACATAGTGAGCCAACATTCAAACAGACTAATACTGCTGATCAGAGGTCAAAACACATCTACAGTACGAACATGGTCCTGAAAATAATCCATATATACTCCTGGTTTTGAATCTTTGTAAATGTGTTTATCCTTTCTCTGCAAAGAAAGAAACTGAAGATCAGTCCTTCTCTAAGATGACACAGTCAGTGGTACTGATGGAGGACAGGAACAGAAGGAGAAAAAAAAAGGAGGTGCGCCACAAGACCAGAAACCTGGCTCACAAGGAGATGGGGGTAGAAGAGATTAGCAACAGACCTTTCCTGTCTTGCCTCAGCAGTGTATTTCAGTGGATATGCCTGTTCTGTTCCCCACTCTGTCTCTGGTGAATACTCCCCACCCCACCCCACACCTCTGGCCTGTACTCCAGTTCTTATATGCATAAATAAATAAATCTTTTTTAAAAATGAGCAACAAGTCTATCACTAAGAGTATGGAATGTATGTATACATGTATTTCTGTGATCTTAATGGATTCCTAAGGCAGTTACCAATTTGAAGACCCAAAAACATTTTGCACAAAGACATCATTGAAATAAGAAGAGATAGATTGATATGGATGAAAGTGTCATATTTTGAGAAACCCATGCCCTTCCGTATTAGGTTTTATAGACATTCAAGTCCAAAATAGCATTATAAACACTAATTTTAAAAACCAGGTAAAGACAAATATCTATAAACTATGAAATGGTTAAGTACTTTCATTATGTTCATATGATGGTATGCTATAGTCCAAGAAAAAGGAACAAAAAGTAATGCATGCTCTTACAGGACGGATCTTACAAACCAGACACTGAGAAGAAAAGATGTTCGCATGATTTCATTTATATGGGTTTAGAAAACAGGCATTATTAAACTTTATGGTTAGGGACATATACATAGCTGGTTTTATTTACATGTATAAATATATACACATATACACAGAATCACATATCTTATCGATGCATGGGAGATGGGATTAGCATACAAAAGAACTGGAGAACTGAGATGGGGAAGGGAAACATGACTGGATCCTGAGAGCTAGCAGTGTTCTACTTGACTCAGGTGCTGTCCCTAGTCTGCTTATTAATTATGCGATTCTTAGGTTTCATGATCGTTCTGTGTATATGCCATATTTCATACACACAAAAAGTTAAATCAGCTCTAAACGGAAAAACAAGATTCATCATGAAATCAAGACAATTGTAGTCAGATTTTTTTTCTACTTACAATTCAAGATGTTTTCTTAGCAATTCCTTTTAACCTGATTACTATTTATGTGACAGTGGAATTTTTTAGTATTTCCCAACACTGACAAAGGCTAACAGGTTTAATCATTTGTTTAATCCATATGAACTTGTATTTCTCCAGCACAGAGAACCAAGACATTCTTCTTGTCCTACTCACGTTTTGCTCAATACAGAGTTAGAACTGTTAAAGATCATCTATCAAACAAAAATATTTTGTCACTGTTTAGTACTTCTCAATAGATGGAAGTGGCTTTTTGTGAGACACATCAATATTGCCCTTTAATTTAAAAATCAGGGTGAATTTTATAGTATATAAGCTATACCTCAAAAAACTGTTAAAAATAATCAGTGTATAGTTTACAATTATTTTCAATTTTGTAATCTGAGAACAATTTTGAAACAAATCAAATATTTGGCATTTCTAGTACCATCACTGTATCTATATATAAAATTTTTTAAAAATTCACCATCACTTCACTAAAGGATTGGTTAGAACTCAACTGCCCTCAAGAATTATCAATAACCCAGTTGAGGGCTAAAATAATAACAAAGAGCTCTGGAAAATGAACTAATAAGCTAGCAGGAAATGACTGATAACCATTTTCTCTAAAAATTAGAATTTTAGATTTTTGAAGTGAAACCCCAAAACACCTTAGCTAGTAGCTTCCCATCATCATTTCAGTACATACCCCATGTACTATTTTCAATATTTTATCTGCCTGCTCAACATTATTGATATAAGCAGCTTAACTAAATTAAGTCCTCACCTTGAGTTGCATTGTGTTTGACAACAGCTGATGCCAATTATATTCAAATATAAATAAAACTTATGCTTTTTAAAAATACAATGATCCAAATTTTCAAAAATACTATGACCAATGACAACTCAAACTGTATTCTCCTCTGCTATAGCAAACACCACCTGCATCTAAATATAAAGACACTAATATATCAGACTCTTAATGAATTGCAACTCAGGTTAATTGCTTCAGTACCTAAAATCTAAATCTTTGGAAAGTTGCTGGAAACTTCTAATTTTTTCTTTTAGGCCATGTCTTCACATAAGAAAGTCAAGCTTATCTCTTTAAAATAATCTGATTGAGCAACATATATCACATTAGCATTCCTTCAACTAGTGAATTCTATTTTTGACAATTGATAAATGCAGCTTTCTTTACTTCACATTTAAGAAGGAAAGAACCAAAGAGGCTTTCTCTGATACATGCATTTACTGCTGCTGTAGATTTGATTGTATTCTTAAAGTTATTCCTCTGAAATTATGGAAAAGGCCTTAAATAAAATAAACTCATACTTCTTCGAATGTTCATCTAGCTTTTGTTGCTGTGTTTTAGGCACATTTTTCACACTGTTTGAGTAATTAACTAATGTATTTCCAAGAAACAGAAAATAACGAAGCCTGATGCTTTAAGACACAGTAGGTCTGCATTATAGCTACTTCACAGAAAACTCAACCAACATCCAGAGATTCTGTTATCAAGAAAGAATAAAATGCCCGAATAATTTTCCTAAAACTCAGGATTGTTTGTCTAATTTCAAAGGGAGCTATTGTTTGAGTTACAAATCTAGCACCTGGCTCACCAGATATTTTCTTTCTATATTTAACATGACCATTTGGACAATAGAAACATTTGAGGGAACACATTGGAGATTTCATCATCCAGCCAAAACACAATTATTTTCAAGAACTTTGGATGGGTGATTGATGTATTTATATAAACTTTTTTCTCTAAAAATAAGAATTTTAGACTTTTGCACTGAAACTCCAAACCACCTAAGCTAGTAGTTTTCCATCATCCTCATTCCGGATCTGCTCCATACCCCACATGCTATTTTCAATAGTTTTACCTGCTTGCTCAACCTCACTGATATGAGCAGCTTGCCTAAATTAAGTCCCTGCCTTGAGTTGCACTATACAGACACAATTCCTAAGGATAAAAATGTATTCCTGAATGCATGGTGATTTATCAATATAAAATGATGTTATGTTGACGAGCTTTTAAAATACAAATTTCCTTGAAAATGTCTACCCATACAGCCTCACCACCACCCTCACCTCTCTCTTTGTAGGTTGAAAGTTTCTGGATGAAATGTTTCTGAGTGGGGAGTAACAACTCTTCTTGGATTTTAAATCATTTCCTATAAGCACTCAAAGATAAAACAGCCTAAAGCCATTTCTTAACATTCAGTCCATGAGACCCAAAAAAGTCTGGGAGGAGTGTGGGAGAAAAGAAGGGAGGGAGAACAAACCTTAGAATCACAAAAAAAAAAAAAAAAAAAGGCATTAACTTTCTGTGTCATTTGCAAATATTTTACTTTAAATTAAAGTCAGTGTTAGGAATTCAATTTCTCTAGTAATGATCATAAAATTTCTCTTCACTGCTAAAAGACTTCATTTATGCAAGCCCAGGAATACAATTATCTTTTCATCTGGGACGGCATGTTTTGTTATCCAGATTTTATTTATCTTTTAATAAAACTTTACATCTTACCATATTCTTTAGACCTCTAAGTTCACTCAAAAGTTGGGAAGTAAACTTCCCAATCTGGCAAGTAGATATGATCTCTATGTTAGAGATGGAGTAACTGATGCTCAGAGATGAAATGACTTGCCTTAAATCATACGCACACAAACACAGAGGCACATATACATGACAGACAAATACACACAGACAGATGCACAAACAGAGAGACACACAGACATTGATCAAGGATTCAAACTCAGGACTTCTGACTCTTCTGACCCTTGTTCTTTTAAATACATTGTAGCAAAGTGTTCATCCTGGGGGGGGCGGTTGTGGGGTTTTTTTTTGGGGGGGGGTAGAAAGTTTTTAAAAGAGTGCAAATGTGTTGATTTTGAATACCAGTACTTAGAAGAATAACTGACACACCATCCTCCATAATGTTCAAAGAACGAAAGCTCTTTCAAATTTCGTATCCAAGTCACTTCACTCAGAGATTAAGGATAATATTTTAAGCTTAGATACACAACGTGTAACTCTAGGGCATACACCCAGTGGGTTCAGGGCTAGACATGTCATTCAAACTAATGCCATAGCTAAAGAACACTTACTGATAAGCCTGTGTTGTTTGGCTCCTGTCTCTAAAGGAATCTACTACATTATCTACACATTTGTCCCTACCCCAATTTACCAAGGCTTGGGCTAGTTCCATCTCCCTTCCACTGGCCACCAGGAAGGTTAGGCTGCTCAAAACACAGGCCAGCTTTGCAGGTGATAAAAAGACAGCATTTAATGGACCCCACCTAATGACTAAGGTTCAAATCTACTATAACTCAAACTGAAACAGCAGGAAGTAGATGAAGGGGTTACAACCAGGGTGCCACTAGGTTAAGTAGGTAAGTCACAGTAGACAGGACTCATCAGCTATGCTACAACATGGCATTTTCTATTAGACACACATTGGCCTGCCCTTGATTATTTCTTTGGGGCCTCCCTCTGTCGATGACGTGCCCCGCTTTCTCCATCCACATCTAACAGTGTGTCACTGAAAGTCTTTCTGCATATAGGTTTAGAATTAGAAATTCCACTCATCTAGCAAAACATTTCTGATCCTTTGTATCCTCTCTATCCATGCATATAATTACATAAGAAATTACTTAATTGAGGTTAATCTGCTGTTAGTTAGACTTATCAAAAAAAAT